CTTCTTCTTCTTCTTCTTCTTCTTCTTCTTCTTCTTCTTCTTCTTTTTCTTCTTCTTCTTCTTCTCTGATCCAACTCTCTCACCATTTCTGTTTCTCACACTGTCAATACCAGTATCGAGGCTTGAGTTAATCTCAAACAGGTTTCAACTTGGAAAATACCTTATCAAGCCCTGCACAGACTATTATTACTGAAATGAAACATAAAGGCAACATTTAATAATTGTATACAACCTGATATGACCTTTTTGCTAGAGTCAAAATGCTGCTTGAAAGGTCAAAATTAGTCCCGCCCCAGAATTAACCTACCTATGTCAAACTAACTACATTGTATAGTCATACAGCCACCAGTACAAGACACCCCACCTGGCTAGACAGACTTGGGAGGGAAAACCCTATCATGTTCTTTTAATTAAATTTTAGCAAGTGTTTTACGGCACTTGCAATGTAGTAAGGTCGTACAAGTGTCCCAAATTAGAGGTGTTACAAGAGAGTAACAAACACAAAAAAGAAAGAGGAGAGATCAGTAACACAGATGTTTGATAGAAAAGAAGGAGCCAACCACACCACAGCACCCGCCAACCACCGACACCTATACTCGGTGGCTCTCGTGGCCAAGACGTTAAGGTGTTCGCTTCTCATTCAAAGGTCCCGGGTTCGAATTCGGGTAGCGACCGAACATTTTGTTCTCTAATATTGTCTCCTTTCACCTCCTTTCCAGCTTTCTAGCAATGTTCTGCAGCCTTTAAGTTGCTACTCTCTGGCTCCTTACTGCTGTCTTTCAGCCACATACCTGATCTTCTGGTAGGAAAGATCTACACCTAGTCTTCTCGGACAAGGGCAAAAAATCTCGGAGGCCCCATGTTCAAGTTACGCACATTAAAGATCCCTTGGTGGTCCAAAATCGATAAGAGTAGGCTTCGGCGCCACCCCGGCAAAATTCAAAATTTTCTATCAACTGAAAATGATTAGTGTGTCCCGCGCGCTCATATGACCTTACACAGTTGCGAGCGCCGTAAAGAACTTACCCCCCAAAACAACAAC